GCCACTCATTCCCAGTTAGGCTCACTTCAGCCTCCAATACAGTTAGCTGTTGGGATCCCCCTGTCACCCCAGAAATACAGATGGGTTCTGTCCCTTTATAGCTTGATGGCATTAGGGTACACTGTGCACCGGTGTCCACTAGAGCCTTATACTCCTGTGGATCTGATGCTGAATCCACACAGTCCAGTAAACCCAGTTGTCCCTTTCCTCTACTTGGCTGGAGGCAGGGCCCCTCTAGTCCTCATCACAGTATTCGTTTCTCATTTCTTGTAAATGCAAATCAAAAGTCCCTTTTGCAGTTTAACCAGGCAGGCAGCTAAACACCACACAGCCGTTTGCTCACTGCCCCTATCCCCAGTGGGATGGAGGAGAGAATCGGGGGACAGAAGTAAAATTCATGGGTTGAGACAAAGACAGTTTAATAGGACAGAAAAGGAAGGGAAAGTACTAATAACAATAATCATGTTATTATTCTCGCTGGCAGGGCGTGAGAAGCTGAAAAGTCCTTGACTAGTGTAAGCACTGCTTAGCAACAACTAAAACTTCGGTGTGTTACCAACATTATTCTCATCCTAAATCCAAAACACTGTACCAGCTACTAGGAAGAAAATTAACTCTATCCCAGCTGAAACCAGGACATATGTGTGTGTATGTGTGTATATATATATCTCTTTAAACAGAATCCACTGTACAATTTCAATAGAATGGTTTGAAGTTTTACAGGTGCTTCACAAGGAAATGGAGATGCTCTTTATAAAGCAGTGGTGGGTAATGTTTCATACTGAGGACAAGAGTGAATTGAGCATAAAAGAAATCAGAGTAATAATTTCATCGAAAGATGTAATTTAGAAGTACCCTACATAGCCTGTGAGCATCCCAAAGAGTTGGCATTGCCTCTGTTTCTTAATGAAGCTGGTTGCCACCTAAGCCAAAAGGACCATCAAGAATAACAATAAAACAGGACACTGAAATATTAATTAACTAGTTATAATGACAATAAATCAGGAGCTGCAGCTTTTGTCTTTTGGTGAGTGGCTCTGTCTCAGTAGTGTCCATGGGGAAAAGAAATAAAGAGAGTGTTCAGGCTAGAGTCGCTCAGAAAAATGATGGAGGACTCAGGGCGAGCCATTCAGTTTTCATAACTGGGTTCTCCTTCTTGCTATTCATTTGTGGGTATGAACTTGCAGCATGTCTGTGAGCATGTTTTAGGCAGGCAGGGTTACCAGAGAGGCTGAGATGTGTGTCTCTGCCCTTATCTTTTCAATAGTCAGATACTGATGCTGAGCTCAAGAAAACTGAGTCATGCTGAGTCCCTCAATGAAGAGGGACCGCAGGGGGCACTGATTTATCTGCACCTGCCCTCCTCTATGCCCATCAGCCCTGTGCAGATGAACACTGGGCAGCCCGAGTAATCCTGAAGACCAGAGATAACAGTTTTAATCCTAGTGGTCAAGTGAGCAGCCAGGATTAAGTACTGTAGTTCCATTTAATTAATGACAAGTGTATTTTGATGTATTTTAGGGAAGCTGTCAGTTTGCCACTGTGGAGTGAAATGCTAGCTGGGTACCAAGCTGAGTTATAAGGTTTACCTCCTGGCCTGGCTTCCTCCTGGAAGTTTTACAGCTTCCAGCTGTCATAAAGCACATTAAACAGGAACTCTAAAAGCAATTTTACTTTATTTACGATTACAAAAAAGGTCTGGTTATAATGGGAAACCTGAAGTATTTAAAGATAGCAACAGGCAGCATGAACACGACTGCTGCCTACCACTTCCCCTTCAGAGAACAAGTAGTTGTTTTACAGAGAATTAATATTCAGATCAGGTTCAGTTCATCCTACCTGCTGGGTTCATTTTATTGTATAATAAAATCTGATTTATTCTCATTTGGATCTAGATTATATAGTCATATAAGCATAAGCCATTTATAAACAGTTACTTTCCAAGTAGCATAATATAATACCTACTCCCTTAGGTATTTCTGAGGAATACCAAATGTTACTTGCCAAAGGGCAGAGGTAAAAATGTTGTTTTGGATCTGAACATTGTGCCTGGAGCTAATCACTGGTTATGCTGATACCTTTTCAGTTCTTCATTTAAAAAAAAAAAAGGCAGACTAGTATGCTTCCTCAGTGAACTTTTCTGTCTGGTAAACCTAACTCCCTCTTTATATTTCACTTACAGAATGGTCTTATTGTTGCCTGTTACCAAGGTTATGTGGATATTGTAATAGCCTTAGCACAATGCCCTCACCTTGATGTGAACTGGCAGGACAACGAAGGGAACACGGCTCTAATTACAGCTGCGCAGGCAGGTAAGGCTCTTTGTTTCACCTCTTACATACAGGGTCTTAGGAGGAATGTGTGTTGCAGCTATTATTTTTAGGATTTTGTCAAAGCCCTAAAAGAAATTAGTCTGCATAAAATAATCCTGGCCAAGACCACTCCCAAATAAGTTTGTCATGATTTTCTTTGAACTAATTAATCTACAGTAATATTTATCCAATGGATTAAGACAGAAAAAGCTATACATTTCTAGTAGATGCCATTAACTGTTTTAACTTAAAAATAAAGAAGATCTTGCCCCAAGTGTGCAGTACTATACTATTTTGTTCCTTTAAGCTCATTTTCCTATGTTTGCTCTGGCAAGCAACCAGTCAACATTGTGGTCATATAATGTGCTGTATCAGTGCTCAGCATCTCTTTTCTCATGCTTGTTGCACCTACCTCAGTGGGTCTGTAGTAATTGCTGACTGTAAGAAAATGTATCATCGTTCAGAAACATCTTAGCTGCTAAGACATTCTTCACCCACTCTGTAGTTAAAAGCAAAAAAACCCTATTTGTATAGTCTCAGCAGGATTCAGTGTTTGCCAATGCTGCTTTTATAACAGACTGATTATATTGACATCGACCATGTTAATCTTGATGCAGACTGGAGTGAGAGCAGAGTTTATCCCCAGGTTTTCTTTTATCTCACCCAGCATGGTAATATTCAGTGAACAAGTGTAACAGATCACATAAATGTAAGAGATGCTCCCAAAAGAGTTACTCCTTTCAAGTGTATGGTTAAAAAGCAATCAGTCGATCATTTCTGTTAAAACTGTAACACTGTGCTTTAACCTTTATGGGAAGCTGTAGTTTTCTCTTACAAGTGTTAACAAAATGCTGAAGCATGTGCATTGGGAAAAAAATGACCAAGGGGGCCACCCCTTTGTGGTCTAAAAGCTGTTCCAAGGGCTGCCTGGCTCTGCATCCATGGTTTCCTTTGCATCCTCAAGTGTGCTCCTCAAAGGCAATCACTTTATGAGGAAATGCCTACTTGGTCTTTATCATGTCTTCTTACTGATGAAGAATATGGGATGTTCATGGGAGTTCATGGGACGTAGTATTCCCTCCCAGACCCTGTCTGTTCTTCTCTGGCTGGATGGAGGAAGCAAGTTTCCATCAGGCAGCATCAATGGACATCCTGTGTCCACTTCAGCCGTGTCTGAAGATTGGAGCAGTTAGATTTTTATTTTAACTGAGTAATATTGCCACTAGACATTTCCAGGTAATACCAAACTTTGCTTTGTGTTGTACCAAAAAGTGAACTCTGCTAAAGAAGCCACTCTTGAGATGGGTCTTGAATATTGGAAGAAAGAATTGGGACCAGAGTTGTCACTTTCATAGCAAAGTCACGAGTATAGTCACTTTCCAAAGAAAGTGGAGAAGTCTCCAAAACTCTAACCTACTTTATTTATCTGCCCTAATATAAATTTGGACTACAAAAGGTTTAACTTTAACACTGACTCCTTCCTGACCTTTATAACTCATGATAATGAGCTCAGAATTAATCCAGAGGGCTGACATTGACTTGACACTCTCTGCCAGTACTTGCTATTGATCCCCAAAGCAACTGGAAACGACTGTAGTCAGCAGAAGCTTATACAAACTCCTAACAACTTGGATGTTTTCCCCTGCCTATGATAATCCTGAGCTACAGTGTTGACACCAGTTATTTAATTCATTATCACAAGATACTGCTGTAGTGTTAATAGAGATTACCATGAGGTTAACACTGCAACCAGAGGAGCTACAGTGCAATAGATGCTGCTTAATTATCGCTGAATGTTAAGTAGTAACACTGAGCAGCGTATTATAAAGAACTGAAAGCAAAGCTTATGTGAGCTTTCCTTTAGTGGAGGATTTATTTGGGTTTTTTTACCCTTAGGCCATGGAAATAATAATATTTTTTGCAAAATAAATTATACCAAGAGATCGCTGTTATGCATATCAAAAGTATTGTTTACCTAATAGCAAATCCACATGATTTCAATTGATTGTAAGGTGATATCAGAAGGTTTCAGAAAGCCCTGCCATTTCTGTTATGACCCACTGACCAGGCGAGCCATCACGTATGGCCAGACCCTGAAGAGGAGCTGGGTGGGAAAGAGGCTGCGGTCCTGAGGGATCGCTCCGCGTGTTTCAGAAGCTGCATCTGTAACGCTCGGTACAGGTACTGAGGAAGATGATAGGGAGGCCTCTTTACTTTTGCTAGACGAGTTTAAAATCCACACTTACTTATGCCATTTCATGACTGCCCAGACATGATGCTCAAATCTGAGCGTCAGCTTGATTTAAATAGAATTATTTTAAAGACCAGCTAGAGTCTCAGAAGAGAAGTGAATTCAGTTCCTCATATCCATTTGCTTTTGATAATTTAAGATCCTCATCTTAAAGTACCTAAAGCTGAAGTTTTTCTGCATGGGCTGACCTGAGAAAGATAGGCTGGAGGGATCAGTGAAAAGCAGTACTTTCTTAATAAGCTTATTGGTATAGAAAATAACTGCAAAGTGCTCTGCTTAGTGTGTAAATTTCAGGTTTGAAAATTGGTCTGTTCACTTGCTCTCTCAATATTTCTTACAGACGTGTGATCCTTTCTCAAAGAGATCTTGCCTTCCAAAACTGTAAATTTGTTGCAGCCTGCAGCAGGTGGTGCCCAGAAATGGGTGGTGATGCTGTTAAAACAGAAGCAAAATCATTAAATATCAGTACAAGGACAATGCAGAAAAAATGGGAGATTGATGCAAACAAGAGATTGAAATAACAAGTGGAAAGAAAGGAAGGAAGGAGAGGAGTTTCAAAAAAAGGGAAAAGGGAGGAAAATTACATTAATTTTTTTTTCTCAGTTCTGCTGCTGCTGAGGACATAGCTACGTCAGTGGCAGCATATGGTAATTGGTCTACACTGGTGTTTAGAGAGGGTCATAGTTGCTCACAAAGTATAGATGTTTTATGTTACAGGGACCAGTTTGGGGCAAGGCTGTAGAGCTGGGAACACAAAATGACAAGTTATCCCAGTTTCTGCTTATTAAGGGAGGCACGAGAACACAATCACCTAAAGCATCCAGAGGATAAAAGGTTCTGGGTGTCTTTGTCTGGTTCCACCCATCCATCAGAAAGCATTCACCACCCATAGACCAAACACAGGCTTTTTGCAGGTACAATTTGCAATTGTGATGTTATATGACAGAGCACCTTCCTTACAATGCAGCTTATCCTTCTGCCTGCATTACATAGATTATTAGGTAATATTGTCATCATTATATGCATTTCCTCTGTGGCAGCGATTAAGTGAATTAAGCTCCTACAGACATCTGTGCTGATCTCTAAATATGGCTCACAAAGTGAAGAAGTGTATCCTTAGCATGTCAGTTCTGCTAGAAGATAGATCTGGCTTACAAACAGCAAGAGCCTGATACAAATTCAGTATGACCAAACTGGCTGAGGCCAGGTTAATTTATTTTAGCGCTGCATACAGCTTTCATAGCAGACTTTAAATCATGGAAGACTCACCTGGTTTACGATTTAGAGACACGCTTTTAGTTTGCCCAGATGTAGGAGAACTGAAGCAAACTTTGTGGCCTTAAATCAAAAGCATATGACAGAGTTTGAACAAAAACTTGGCAGCTCTGAGTTTTGCTTTGAATTTGGTATCTGTTTGAACTTGAAATCTGATGCAAACCTCAGAGGACAGAAGCTCCTGCAGATTAAAACTGAAGTGGTTTGCAGGAATCCCTGAGACGCAAAACTTCTGAGAATCACAAACCTCTTCACTTTCTTTGTTATTTTATTGCTGTTTTTTTTCTGTCTCATTTGAGGCCATCTGTAGTCCCCTGAAGAGTTTTGGCTGAGCGAGGTGTTTCAGGATTGACTCTTAGGATCATCCCAGATTTGCAAAGCGTCTCTTACATCAGCTATACTTTTGGCAAAGTAAAGAACATCTTTAGTAATGTAATAAATGCTGAAAAATCTTCCATCTTATTATTCCTCCTTGTTTCAGTCCTGTCTCTGGTTTCTGTGGTCAAAAAGCAGTATTTCAGCGGTTCCAAAGCCTTCATGAAGACACACACTGTATATCGGTGAAACAGAGCATGTCCTGCAAAACAATTTGGGGATGAAGATTCTCCTGGTAGTAACCGATACCCTGTTAGGATTTGATCTTATGCCACAAAGTCAGTGAAGCTGAAGCCTCTGTATTGAGTAAGCAGGACCAGGTCACTTGATCCTGCCCTGAACCCAGTCCACTTTCACTTTGTTCAGTTTGTTGCGGTTTGATGTATCTTTATACTCCATTTGCATCAGACTGTGCAAGGTTCAGGGAGCTCCTTATTTGGTTTTCTCTGGCGTTGCTAAGCTGATGTGCACTATCTCTACATCTGCTCAGGTTTCAGGAGAGTTTCCAGTTATGCAGCAAGATAGCAGAGTCCAGCGAATTCTAGGAAATGAAGAGTAACACCTAGAAAACATATTAAATTAATTGGTAAAGATTTTCTGAACTTGCTTTCCAAAGTGAATGCATGACTGTGTTGGTACAAAGCAACTGCTGATGAAATCTGTACCAGATGTGACACTATAGACTTTAAAAATTGTCCTGTATGACTTATAAACTGCTTCAGTAACATGTCTAGATGAATTTGAATGACACGCATCACAGAATATTCAGCTGGACTGCAGAGGGAGATGGGAGAATATTTTTACGTCTCCTAGTAATTAAATTGTAATTGTTGCAGCTGCCTGACAGACTGCATTATTTTATAAAGCATCAAAGCATCATAAAATGAATGACAAGTGAAGGGAAAACTGTTTTGAATGAGTCATAATGGCACTAGATACTCATCTTGTTCCGATAGTCTAATTACAAAGACTTGATGTTTTAATTGGTCTTCCAACCATTTAGCCAGAGATGTCTTCAACTACTCAGAACACCCTTGCTGACACCAGTTATCCTGGCGCACAAGGCACATGACTGGCAACAACAGTTGCTTTCAGAAAGACAACTCAAGTCATTTATTTTACTAACAAAACTGAACATCATTTTCCTATTGCTGGAGAGCAGACAAGTGGCTTTACACTGTCAGATGGAAAAATAAAAATGTGGGATTCTACACAAAATATTTCTTTGTCTCGTATCAGGCCTGGCATGGCTTGTTACTATTATTGGCTGGAACTACCACATGTAATCACTTTTTAATGAAGCACCACTATGGTAAGGCTCAAATTTACCAGGGAAGTGAAAAACCTGAACCTTTGCAGTCATTGCCCCAGGTGATGGGTCATCCTTCCATAAGCTGTAGGATTTCCCTTTGCAGTGCTACTCACTGAGTCAAGAAACTAAGGCCCCTCACAACCTCAGAGTGACCATCGCTGGTTTTCAATTACTCCCTTACCTTAAATTGACTTTTCAGAGAAGAGAGCAACTTGAGAGAAGGTGGGAACCCAGATTTTCAGGCTTCTAGTGCAACACTCTGGTCACAAGTCAGTGCTACTTAACCCTAAGGCTAATGACTGCAATGAGCAGAAGAGGATACGAAGAAAAGAGATCTTATTAGCTATCTGCATTTTTCCAGTTATCAAACCTGCAGGAGTAATTTTTGGTTTAATCTTGAGACAGCACCTTAATTCTGTGACATATTTTCTCTGCTTTTTCATTTCTTTAAAGGGCACATAACCATTACAAACTATTTGTTGAACTATTTTCCCGGGCTTGATATTGAGAAGACGAATGTGTTCGGATTCACAGCACTGATGAAATCTGCGATGCAGGGCCGAACTGAATGCGTGAAAGCCTTGATGTTGGCAGGTATGCAAAGTGCTTTGCTGCATCTTCGTCATCATCTACCTGTAAATACTAGACAGTCACACGCAAACACCAAGAACAAAATTGGCTCTTGGGGTGTTTACTCTGAAAGGTATGATGCAGCCTCCCCTGGAAACGGGTACAGCTTTTAAATAAGTCATAGACAAGGCGGTGAAGCCATGTGCTGCAGGCGCAGGAGCGCTCAGTTTGCGTGTGGAAACTCATCCAGGATCTCTCCAAGAGCTCTCATGGTGAGATTCATTGTCTCCAGGATAGTCCGGGGAGTGTGATCACCAAGATTTGTAGACAAGGAGTTAATGAAGTTCATGACACAGCTGGGAAAGGCACGCAGGTCGCTTGCTGCCAGCTCTGTGGGTGTGACGGTGCAAGGGTGTGTGATGATGCCAGGGTGTGTGATGGTGGTGGGACCATAGCCAGACCTCCACCTCTCCCTGCAACCGTGGAAGGTCGTGGGGCAGGGAGTGGAGAGCTTTGGGGGCTCTGGCTCCTGTCAGGAGAGTTTGGTGTAGGATTCATATCCCACAGGGGACATTCGCCGGAAATTTGGCAATACAGGGAATAACCTCTCTTTCTACCCCTCTACAGATGTGAGTTGGGTCTCCAGGTTTATGGGCAACAGGGCACCAGCAGCTCTGCATCTGCTGCAATGAGGGAGTCATGGCACAGGGAGTGAGCGGGTCCATCTCTGCCCACCTGCCTCTCTTCACATCTGATAACAGGAAATATGTTTCTTGCTGTTGGCTCTTGGCTGTGGCTGAATTTCCAGCCGTATGCATTGCGAGGTGAAGGGGTCCTGGAGAGGAAACTTGGAGGGGCGAGAGGCATTGGGGCAGCAGCCTCTACAGGAGCAGTCCCAGCATACAGCACCTTTTAGCCACAATGTTGTGTGTTTTTATTATATTAAGTAATTGGTATATAAATTATTAGCTAATAATTAAATAACTAGCATATATTAGTATATATTCTTGTATTACAGTTGCAGGTATTTGACACATTAGATGTTATGGAAATGATAACAGATTGCATGTGAATATTGTTACTGTCTAGATCAAGAATCCTACAGGTCCATTTCATTGAGAGAGGTCTTGAATAAGTAGTTTATTTCAGTCAGTTTGCTGTCACAGAAGTCTAACCCCTTATAATCTGAATATTTTAAGTTGCAGGCATTTATCAAGCATAGTGATATTACTTTCATTCATTTTCATAATATCCAGTTTCTAGATGTTGATATGACACAGAAAATATTTCGATGATGTGGTAACCGGCATGTTATTTTCTGCAAGGTTCTGTAGCCTCTTATGCTGGAATCAAGGCTTTGGAATCAGATCATTCATTTTGGAGTTAAATTTTTATGAAACAAAATTATAAAATGACTGTCAGAGCTGGAGTACTCCTAGACACAGATGCACTTTCTGGACTAACACATACTTTGTGCAGATGCTAGTTTACAATTTTCCAATGCCTGTTATAAATTATCACTTAAAATGAAACTTCAATCCCAAGACCTTATGACTTGTCAAATTGACCTTACAGTATCATAGCTTTCTATTATTATCACTGGAGATCTGATGGAAGCTTGTTCTTTCTGTTTTGGTCACTAGAAGCTTTTTCACAACCTTTCCATCTTTGTAGATAACTCAGTCCTTGTTATTCTAATTCTTGTACAAAAAGTATCGATATCAAAGTTCACTATGTGGTTGCTGCCTCTGGCATCTGAATAGCCACCTTCTCGTTTCATGATTCATAAGCAAACAGAATATTGGGGAGAACAAACCTTTAGCCAGCCAGAAAATGGCTTTGTTAGCCTCCATATTGAGTTTACCTACAGGAAGTTTTATCAGCCTGTTTGTGCATCAGAGACAGTGAGGATACCAAATATCATCCATTGGCTACAGAGGCATAGAGTTAATATACTTTGGGTTTCCCAATTGCAATTTATAAACGTGTTTTAGTAAGTATTTTGCAGGTCCTCACATTTTCAGCTCAAAATAGGGGCCACAAAGGAAGTGTGGTAAATTGCCTGCACCCATTTTAATATTTGATTATTTTTTACCACTGTACAGCCTGGTGAAATGGAGGGAGGGAGGGAGCTGCTCATTCAGAATGGATTTAGAAGTAGTTCGGGGCTTAAGGGATACTGAGTGGCTGCTGACAATAAAGTGCTAGTTTGCTGAAGAAGGTGAAAGAAATTGTTATTAAAAGATTTGGTGAAAAAATCAATTTCACAAATAAACCAGCAAAATTCTGTGTTAAAACGTAAGAATGCATGGAAATATAGGGGGAAAACACCCATAATCAGCTGTGGGTCTACTTGCATAGTTACAAACCAGGTATGTGTCTTTAGAATACAGCCAGGAGGTTTTTTAAACCCGGTATCTGTTTAGCGGCTTGGGTAAGACCTCTGTTGACTGGCACCTACTTATGGCAATGCAGGAGGCCAGTAAAGGAAAATAACTCACCTTCCTAGCCGCCTAAGCATGGATTTAACACAGTCAGTTGGGGAAGAGGTAACGGCAACGTGTGACAGATGGTTGGAGCTGGGTTGTCAAAGTGACTGCTCTTTCCGAAATTCGAGTTCCTGGAGGGTGGCCAAGGTCAATCACTACAAGATTAAGGCGCTCTGAGACACTTGGCCATAATGTTTGCTCTTTCAAAGTGAGTCTTTGGAACATGTGAATTTGCTATTCATGAGTGCACAGCGAGTAAGGGGGGAACCAGTCGCTCATCGGCAGTTTGTCACAGGCTGCTGCGCTGCCAGGACTGCGCTGGTGCTGGCATTCAGCAAGCGAGCTAGCCTGAGTGGGAGCACAGAAATGCCAGTTGTAATTCACGTGTCAAGGCCTGCTGTAATCTCCAGTGTAAACTCAGTGCTGCTTTAGTAAAGTCATCGGAGTGGCTGTGGATCTGGAGACTGGGATTTAAATACTGCATATAAAACAGGTCGGTAACAGATGCCTGAGCTCTTCCACTCCCTGTCTTTAAACTCAGGATGTCAGTTTTGCATCTCAAGGGACATTAAACCTTCAAAATCAAATAGGATATTGATATCCCAAAGGGTATGTGCATTCAAACTAGGTGTGCTGAAAATGATGTTCAGGGCAACTTTTGTGGGAAAATCAAGGCAAGCGGCAAATGCAGTTTTCCTAAAAGAAAACTTGTAGGCTATACGTATACTGAAATAACAATTAGTTCAATAAGACTGCTATCACATTTAAAAAGGGACATGACTATTCATGTCTCTTCCAGATGAGGCATTCTGCTGAATGACAGGTTTGTTCAGAAATGTCTCCTGATTTGTACAGAAAATCAATACCACTATAGTAAATCACGGCTTAGAAGAGATCTTGTGATACAAGGTACAATGTCAGCATCGATTTCGGTTGAAAGATCAGGATTTCAATACTCTGTAGTATTGTTTTCTGAGATAAAGTTTCCAAAACACCTGGGGACGCATCTGTCAGGGAGCAGCAGGAGTGGGCTGCTCTGCAAAGGGAGGTGAGCCAAGGGTGACAGCAAGGCACACAGAGGCACTAGCCTCATCAGCAAAGGTGCTTCATGAACAAATGGAGCAGGGCTGGTGACAATAACCAGGATCAGCCAGTACTGCAGTGATTGCCAGGCAAGTCCGTGGTGGCAAGGCAAGTCCATAGAGACAAGGTAGGTCTGAGGTCAAAACAAGAAATGAAGTCTGTGGGTCAGGGTCTGTATCAGCAGGGCACGTGGCCCAGCACAGGCATACCTGCAACATAGCTCAGGCAAGGACCAGAGCTGAGCATCTGAGCTTCAATGCAGCCCCCAAGCAAAGGTGGGGAGCGCCCAGTGAGCCCTTTCTCACACAGTTCTTTTTGCACAAGTCTGATCCAAGGTCCCACAGCTACACCATATCAGAGCTGGCATGTCTTTTTCTTGAAGATAATGGTAAGCAGCTGTCTATACCTCTCACTTGTTTACAAGCAGAGCATACTGTTCATTAAAATTTATATTTGGAGACAGTTCCTTTAACAGTGCTTCCTTTAGTAAATCCTTGCCTGTTACGTGTACAACAAAGAAGCAACTTCCATGTAATCTGCCATGTTCCCAGTCAGCTCTTGTGGGAAGGACCGAAGACACAGGCAAGTGTTAAGAAGGGAACAGGACAAGAGTCTAGCCTGAGATGGGAGAGATTCAGAGGTAGGAAATTTGGGTAGGATGGTTCAAAAACAGTCTAGGGGAGCAGGAGGACCTGTCTTTGTATGTCTTTGTTCCTCCCCTCATTGGTTTGTCTGGAGCTTCTGCAGTCATGAACTTCGTCAAACCCTGCTGCCTTAGAGATCTCACAATCCTTTCTTCAGTCCACAGCTAATGAACTCTTGGATTTGATTAAATCTTCCTTTGTCCTCTCTCTGCCTTCCAGTCTGGGCCCCATGCTTGACTCCCTGCGGTGTCCCTGTGCTTTCTCTCTGAGTGATCGTTTCTGCAAAATTCACTTAAACTACACTTAAACTGAGATCAGCTCTTTTGCTTAGGGTGTCTCCAGCCACATTCACTCTTGGTCTGTGTCTCTAGCATCCTCTTTTTAGGGATTTTTTTCAGAGACTTAGGAATCAATTGGTATTTTAATAGAGTTAAAACTGAGCTTTTGATCACTTTCCCCATGCTCTCCTTTTTCCTCTCTTTTTCTGTAATGACAAAACATCCTTTGTGGGGAAGGTTATACTGGAGCCATTGCAAACTGGTTCCTGGTTGCCATTCCTTATATCTAGTCCCCCTCATGCTAGTTTGAAATACTGTCACCAAGATAACCCGCCCTGGAAAAAAAAAAAAATTATCATGATGTTTCTCTGGCCTTTTCCTCAGGTCTCGGCCTCTGGACATCTCCCTCTTCCAAAGCAATGGGACAGAATGTCTTTTCTTTTGTGGCAAGATCTGTGTAGGTCAGTTTTGTGTTGGCTGTTTGAAAATGGTGCTTCAGCTGATAGAGAAGCCCTTCAAAAAGTCAAACATTGTAGCCCATTCATATCCCAGCTTGAAATTCTACCAAGAAATCCAGAAATTATCTACAGGGCCAGTGATACATGTAAACCACAACTGAATGTTAAAGAGCTCAGTTATGTTGAAAGCAGCTGGGCAAGTGCCCATGCCTGTCCCAGGGAAGGTGCTGCAGATCTGCTGAACAAAGTCGACATTCTAGAGCATGCAAAACTCTGTCTGAGATCAGTCAAAGTTTAAAGGCAGAATATAAAACAGAGGATTTGCAGCTCAAGAACGTGATTGCCTGAAACTAGAGAGTATTCACTCACACTCATTCTCCTATCGATGTCATTCATTCACTCACATACCCATATATTCTAAAACACCAAGATCTGTGTGCCCAGGTGGTATGTCCAGGATCACTTGCGTGCAATGCAGAGAGCATGATGCTGCTGTCAGGTCTTCATCATGTCTCTGAGGTTCTTTCTGATTGGTGATAGCAAGCTCGTTTTTGGACAGATCTTCTGTGCCCTTTAGCAGTCACAAGCTGTAACGTGTTGGTCCTTTGCGACAGTCTTCCTGACTTCAGCTTCCAAAAACACTTGTTGCTGCTCATTGTTCTGCAGCAATTCTTCCAAAGGTGCTGTCTGTATTGAGCTTCCTCTGTCCTTTACAGAGCTCTTCTGTGCGAGCAGAACTAGGCACATGACATCTTCATTGACAAATGCCCACGCTCCACCCTAATACCAGGGCTGAGAGGACTTCCCTGCAATTTTCTGGTTGCCAGAGGATGTGGCAGCATTGGATATAGTACTACAGAAGGTGTAAAGGATACAGTAGAGCAGACTGGGATGCTTGCTCCTCCTGTTACTCTTGTATCCTCTCTTCAGGCAGCCAGGTGCCCTGGAGAAGAAGTAACCCCACTTGCAAGCATAAGAGTGTAGAACAAGGGCAGAAGCCCATGTGAGGGTGGTTACAGGAACATGGAGAGATCAAAAGGAAGGCAGAGCTGAAAAAGGACACAGAAAAATATGAGAAGAAAGAATGGTGATGGGGACAGATATCAGAATTGGACAGATAAAGATCATAATTTGGGAATGGGGGGAGGACAGGCTGAAAGATAATATCCACTTGAAATCATTTCCTTCCAGGACCTAAAACTGTACTTCAAATGCCTAAGGCTCTGCTGTCTAGCATGTGTCCCAGTCGTCTCTTACAGCTGGTCTACTTGGGGATAATAGCATGTCTTTGCTAACAAGTACTTCATTTCCTCAGGGGTGGCAATCTAAGGTAGATGAGAGCAGCTGTTCCAGGCTCAGACTGAAGGTCCGTCTTGCCCATTATCCAGTCTCTGACATGTATGGAAACTTTCCTTATATTTCATCACCCTTGCCACCATCCTCTCAACTTTCTCTAGTTCTGCTGTGTCCTTTCAGAGATAAGAGAACCTGAATTGTGCACCTGGTGTTTTCTCTGAGTTTTTTTCCTTTTTTTCCCTCTATTTTTTTTCACTTTTTTTTTAATGCTTTCCTAGAAATTCCTTCTATATTATTTGCTGGTTTGGCCCATAGTGAGGACTGAGTTGATATTTTCATGGAACTTGTGATCATTAGCCCAAGATCTCTCTTCTGAGTGGCAGCGATCAGTGCAAAGTCCGTTATCCTGTGTGGGAAGGATTTTTGTGTGCAGAATTGTTTCTTTCCATAGTCATTGCTCTTTTCTTACAAGCCTGACTGAATGGATTTTAAAATGGCAGGCAACATTCAATGCAGTTGAAACTCATTATGTCGTGATTTGCATTGTTTTAAGAGAATTTCCTATATACAGCCTTAATTTTTTTTTTTTAAGCAAATCAAGAGTTCAGAAAGTCAGGAACCATGATTTATCCTTATTACATGTTCATTTTGACACAAATATTGTAGTGTGTTTTGTGTGACATTTTCTTGCAGGGATCTGCCTGATTCAACTCTGATCATAGCAACAAAGGTGTGGGCAGTTTCATTAATTAACATTGTTTTTCTTTTCTTTGAGGGGCAAATGTTCACGTGACTGACCCAAGCCGTGGACTGACTTCATGGGAATGGGCTTGTTACACAGGAAGGTCAGAATCTGCCTTCATCATGCAAAAGCTGATGGACAGGCCATGCCCGGAACAGTTCTGTGATCAATATAAACCAGAATGGCCAAAGATGAAGGAACTTCTTGCCAAAGCTGCAGAGCCAAAAAGCTGTTTGCAGAGGATTTCTGAGTGCATGAGGGCAGCTCTCCCATTCCGGTCTTTCTATGGCCCAGAACAAGACGGGGTCCTTGATCACATGGTGAAGGTGACAACAAGCTTGAGCAGTCCTTTCATTGCTCTGTCATGCCGGACTGTGTGCCCAGGCAGCCCGCCTTCTGTGGGAAAACGCAGACTGGCTGTGCAAGAAATCCTTAGGAAGCAGCGAGCCGAGGAGATCCGATCTCAGGACAAAGACCACTTTAGCAGCTACGAGAAGCTGTTTCAGAACTCCAAAGTCACGCTCATCCCCAAGAAGAAGGAGCGGCGAGCCAGCCTGCAGCCCATCAGCCTTGCAGTTTCTCAAGTGAACACCATAGCCACTAGGAAAACAAGCCTCTTGCCGCTCCACCTGCTTAGACGGAGTAGCGTCAGGCCAGGATTTGTCATCCCCAAAGTCCGTATCAGCAAGGCTCCCCCACCCACCTTCTATCCAGAAAATTTGAGAAGGACGAGCAGTACAAAGGACGACCCCTATTTGCAGATTCCCAAATGGAGATACAAGGAGCTAAAAGAGGAGCGGAAGAAGGCAGAGGAACAGGAGAGGAAAAAAGCAGCAGAGGCTCAAAAGCAGAGGCAGGTGTCTCCTGCCAGATGCAGGACCTGATTTAAAGGCAGTTGCTTAGAAGGTTTTAGAGCTGTTAGTCTTGTTATCTGAGCAGGATAACAGACTGCATGCCTTCATGCATACCCACTGCTCACACAGCTGGAATACTGAATAACGGCCTTTAAGGTGCAGAAACAGGGCAAGGACTATGCCACAGTGTGTCTGATGGTGGAGTGTGAAGGTATTTTGAGGTGGAAGACTTACTAAGTTTACCTGTCTGCTGTTGATAGGAAGTTTTAAGTGGTGCAGTCCTTTTGTGGTTTCTTTTTTTTCCAGTTCCAGGTTGAGGAGCTGGCTGAGAAACAGCTTGGAAAACAACATGTGTGTGAAAGGATCGTATTTTGTGTTTGTTCATTTTGTAATGGACAACATTAAGGAGTTGTGCTTTTGACACTAGACGTTCCTCCCTCTCCTTGCTTAGGTAGATGTACTGCAAGGTTTTATAGTAATAATGAAAAGTTTAAAATATACCACAGTGTTGGTGGGCAGTGAAAATCCAGGTCTACAGTTGTTTTGAATATACTAAGCACTTTATTTTAATTCCAGTAATCAAAGTTTGACAGGATAGGTATTAAACTGTGCAGCTCTATACAGTCTGTATGGATGCAGTTCTTAATGCTGCTGTTTGTTCTGTTGAATATAAAAAGGGCTGCATATGAAATATTTCTTAGTTGAGGTATTCACATCCTCTGCAGGTATATATCAGGGGCAGGGACTGATTTCTTTGGAGCAACAGAGAAGCTGAGCTAATTTTTGAATGCCACCGTCACCTAAGCTTTGCCTCCCCCATTAAGTTTCCCCGTATCCGCTATCTGTTGTCTCCTCTTTAGTCTCAGGGAATTTTTTGTGATTGTGTTTAACTGTGAAATAAGGGAGATGGTGAGCCACAGGTGGGCTTTTTTCTAGGTTGATATTTAAGTTCCTGTTAAAAAAACCCACCAGGTTTATTGTGAGCCTTTCCATATTATAGCCAGGACAGGAAAATTATGCAGCTTCCAGAAGTTTGAGCAATTTTCCCAGGTATCAAGTCCAGCCATATGCTATGAACATCCAGTCAGAGATGCAGTATCAGGCAGCTCGGCCAGTAATGTTTGGAAACCGTGGCCAGATCATAGAAATCATAGAATCATTAAGGTTGGAAGAGACCTCCAAGATCATCGAGTCCAACCGTCAACCCAACACCACCATGCCTACTAAACCATGTCCCTAAGCGCCTCATCTACACGTCTTTTAAATACTTCCAGGGATGGTGCCTCAACCCCTTCCCTGGCCAGCCTGTTCCAATGTTTAACCACTC